CAGTTATTGAAATTGAGTGGTATATTGAACTTTTGTTGTTACGATGATGCAGGACTTTGGATATGTGCAAGGGTTCCAAAAATAAACTCAGCCTCTCAAATTTCATCATGGAAAGCGAATTCCAGAAGCAGAAATCGGTTTTGGTCGAATTGTCCGCCTCGGACAATCTCGAAGCTTTCAGGACTGAAGTAGAAGAGAAGGGTTTCCATATTGATGAGGCCGACTTTTGGTATGGAAGAAGAATCGGGTCAAAGAAGATGGGGTTCGAAGAGAGGACGCCGCTTATGATCGCTGCCATGTTCGGTAGCACTAGGGTTCTGAAGTATATAATTCAGTCTGGCATGGCTGATGTCAACAGGTGTTGCGGCTCAGATAGGGTCACTGCCCTTCACTGCGCCGCTGCTGGTGGTTCCACTGCTTCACTTGAGGTTGTCAAGCTCTTGCTTGATGCATCCGCTGATGCTAATTGCGTCAATGCTAACGGAAACAAGGCCGTTGACCTGATTGCCCCAGCTTTGAAGTCGCCCTGCAGCTCAAGAAGGAAGGCCATGGAGATGCTGTTGAGAGGCGATAAGTCAATTATGGAAAGCGATACTGAAGAGGGAGACCAACAGAAGGTTTCGAGCCCCCAGATGTCGAAAGAGGGAAGCGAGAAGAAGGAATATCCGATTGATATATCGTTGCCTGATATCAACAATGGGATATATGGTACAGATGAGTTCAGAATGTTCACTTTCAAGGTGAAGCCGTGCTCGAGGGCCTACTCTCATGACTGGACAGAGTGCCCTTTTGTTCACCCAGGCGAAAACGCCAGGAGGAGAGACCCAAAAAAGTACCCATACAGCTGTGTTCCCTGCCCTGAGTTCCGCAAAGGATCATGCCAGAAGGGAGATGTCTGTGAGTATGCTCATGGTGTCTTTGAGTCCTGGCTTCATCCTGCTCAGTATCGAACCCGCCTTTGCAAAGATGAAACCGGTTGCACGAGGAAAGTGTGCTTCTTTGCTCACCGACCCGAAGAACTACGCCCAGTGTACGCTTCTACGGGTTCAGCCATGCCTTCACCAAGATCAATGTCAGTTAGTGCAGCAGATATGGCAGCCTTGAGCCCGTTAGCTCTGGGTTCATCAGCTATGTCTATGCCAGCTACATCAACACCGCCCATGTCTCCACTGGCGGCCGCTTCGTCTCCTAAGAGCGGAGGTTTGTGGCAGAACAAAGTTAACCTCACCCCGCCTGCCTTGCAGCTTCCCGGTAGCAGGCTGAAGAGTGCGTGTAGTGCCCGAGATTTGGAGTTGGAGATGGAATTGCTAGGACTAGATAGTCATTCAAGCCAACAACAACAGCAACAGCAGCAACAGCACTTGTGGGATGAGATATCTCGTCTCCTCCTCGCCGTCCTACAGCAGGCATGGAGAATTGAAGCCAACTAACCTTGATGATGCTTTCGGATCCGTCGATCCTTCTTTGTTGTCTCAATTGCAGGGACTCTCTCTAAAGCCTTCAACCCCAAACCATCGCCAAAACATGAACCAGCTTCGTTCGAGCTACCCAACCAACTTGTCATCCTCTCCGGTGAGGAAGCCCTCATCATTTGGGCTTGACTCACCCAGTGCTCTTGCAGCAGCCGTTATGAATTCCAGGTCTGCTGCATTTGCACAGCAGCGGAGCCAGAGTTTCATTGACCGTGGAGCAATGAACCATCTTCCCCTGCATAATGCCCCAGTTAATTCTTCCACCATGAGGCAGTCCTCAGATTGGGGCTCACCTGGTGGGAAATTGGATTGGGGAATGCAAGGAGACGAGCTGAACAAGCTGAAGAAGTCTGCTTCTTTTGGGTTCCGAAGCAACAATGCCGGACCACCTGGCTTTAAGACACCGGCGGTTGAAGAGCCGGATGTCTCTTGGGTCAATACCCTTGTTAGGGATGTTTCTTCCGAGAGGTCTGAGCTGTTTGGTGCAGACAAGAAGCAAAGGTATCATCACCTCAACAATGGGGGTCACGAAATGCTTCCGTCGTGGGCGGAGCAGATGTACATAGAACAGGAGCAGAGGGCGTAAGCAACGGTCCCGTGCTCCGATCATCCGCCGAAGATATCGACACGTCGAAGTTTTTTATTAGTCTTTCGATAAAATTATAGTTACTTGTAATCTAAGAAAACGGGGAAAGTCACAGCAAACCAATTCAATTCAATCAAGGCCCTCAAATTCTGGGCAGGAGAAAGGAGACCAAGTTAGGCTCTAGAATTTGGAGAACTTAGATAGGAGGCGAATATGTTCTGCTATTTTTATTCATTATATTATTGTATTTATTTATTTATTTATTTTTCTTCTCCATCTGGGAGATGCTAATTTCTAGTTCTCCACAGAGATGATCAATGCATCAGTGGTAGAAATGTATTTTTATTCAGTCTGATCAAATCTTGCAACTCATTTGGAAAATAAACCGTTTCTGTGTTGTAATCTATATGATTTTTCGATTTTATTTATTTAGTATTTCAAAAATTATTATTATTAAGAGAAATGGAGAAGGATTCGAAACTGTTACTTTGATTTATCTTCCCATATTCGCCGTCAAGCAAACGAGGTTGCTCGCTGTTTAGCTTGTTGGTTGTCCAATTCAAAGAAGTTTGAACTTGGTTTGAGGAAACTCCTGACATCTTAAGGCATCATAGGCTACTGAATATCTAGATGGTTCATTGCCAATATCAGAAGCAAACCCTAGCTCATTTCATTAGGCCAATCTAACTCAGTTCCAATTTCATTTGAGAAACTCGTTAAATACATGACACTTCAAGCTTATCTTGTGCCTCCTGGGTGTATACACTTGTGCGTTTACATACCTCATCATATGACGTTCGATAAAGGTCGTACCCAGTGCACAAGGTTCCCGCTTTACGCAGGGTCTGGGAGAGGTAAATGTCGGCTAGCCTTACCCCCATTTATGGAGAGGCTGCTCCCAAGTCTCGAACCCGAGACCTACCACTCATGGGCGAAGGCACTTACCCCCATTTATCATATGACGTTCGATAATAGGATAAAATCTCTGATACTATTGGCAAAGTAATTTACAAATCATTAAAAACATAGTGGTTATTAGCCTATTAATGAGAAAAACTTGTATGCCACTCCCTACATTAATTCAGGTCCACCAAAATGAGCCAATGTGAGGCACGATTGTCTAGGTCTCTCTTATTTGTGTCTTGGGCAGACATACTATTTGACGCGAAGGGGCGCACCTAAGAATATCTCATGATACTAGATAGAGAGAGATTCCACCACATTCTTTGTTACGCCATATTGATATTCAGAAACAATAAGACAATATTATGTGAGAAAATCAAAACACACGACACTGATGATGTTCGAAAATATAGGTAAGTCAAATCTTCAAATTAAATACTGGCCAAGTAATGCACAAACGCTGATTTTTTATTTTTTTTTTTGGAAATCAGGATATAACAATATCCGGACAAAGATGCCAAAGTATTACAAGGAAAGCCTACACCAAGGCAAACAACCAAAAACTACTAGAAAAGAGTAGTACGAGGAGGTCACAATGTAACCATGACGCCACATCTAATGCTAAAGCGTCCCTCCACGCACAACCAAAAACACTTAGGGGCAGGGAAAACCATCATTACACAAAACATGAATAAGGGAAGATGGGGGTCTGTCAACCCACACATGATCACATACTTCCCTACATCTTCGCGATGCCAAATGATCTGCTGCCGAATTGGCCAGCCTTGAAACCCAAGACCAGTGGCATTCAAGAAAATCCTTTCCCAAACTGCAACACTTGGGGAAGGCATTGGTTTGGCACAAAATTGGTTGGTTATCACAAACATTATCCTAATCCCAATATAATGTAAGGCTAATCAAAACAATCTAGGGTTTAGCTTAGGCATTGGAAGTTGGGCGGTCACCTCTTCAATCCATCCATCCTTGCTGGAACGTTTCAGTGCCAGGATGGAAAGCAAAACGGAGCGTTCTGCCTTTGTTTTTTGGTTTATACAAAATTGTTAGGCCAAAGGCGTGTGGGGCCCACAACATTTGACGTTTGTCCTTGCTTGGTCCATCCAGCCGCCCATGAGCTAATTTTCTCAATCCAACAAATACAAAGTGTCCAAAGTCTCCCCATAAACGAAGCTCCCTCCTACTTTTCCTTTTCCAACACATAGATGATTAGTGACGAGGATGACACACCCATTTCTTTCTTGTCCTATTATATTATTTGAAAAATAATTTCCGCACTCCTGTTTTCTCCTTGCAAAAAGGGTTACAGAATACAAAGAAAGAATGATCAAATCAAGTTTTTTTTTTTTTAGTTATGACTCAACTTTAATCATTTTTTGCTTGACCCTTATAGTTCAAGCGATAAAAAGTTCCGCCCGCACTTCGACTCACTGTACGTGTGAATATGCAGTACATGCCAAGTTGCAATACATACACAAACACATGCTCGGTGATCCTAAGCCGAGTTTAGTGCAGATCTACGAATATCCATATATCTGAAACTCTATACATTTTTGCTTTTTACAACACGATATTCTAAAGTACTTTACTTTAGGACAACTTTCTAATTCTTAAAATAATAGGCCAACCATCCTAAAAAAAAATTGGAAATATTAGGCTCAAAAAAAAAAGAAAAATTAAAATATTATGGGTTTTGGTCAAAAATTTCTATAGCCCTTTTTGTTGGGTCAAGAATACTAACTTTGGGCCAAAATATTAGCCACGCGGCCCACATCTAATGTATTTCCTAATTTGGGTTTTACTAACCCAAACTCATTTAAACGATTTAAAGCGTTTTCGTATTGCCACTTAATACTACGTTCTAGTGGTATTCCTCTTCATTGGTAAGTGAGAGGTTTAGGTTCGATTCTCGCCAAAGACGAATTTGAACCACATTATTGCTAGTCCATTGTGAGGCTAAACTCACTCTCTCCCTTCATGAGTGCAGTTCGTTCGGTAAACTGATCGAGCCTGAGCAGAAATCATTCGGAAATTTCAAGACTCAACCCTTTTCATTCAAATCATTCTACTTCACTATACATATTCCCACGTGTTACAATTCAACAGTCTGCAATGTATCTATGCAAGGCACCTCGTGCTCTTTATACAGAGTACATTAAGAAAAAGAATGGCTGCCAAAGGCAGATTAGTAATGCAGAGCCGGGAAACTGTCCGGGGGTTAAAGCAAGTGGTCACAAAGAATTTAATCCTTTGGTACGCTGTAACGCTTCGATCGTTGAACCTTAAGACTTCACGGCTTCATTCTGGGACTGCTGATCCGGCGAGTTCCTTATCGGTTTGATAATATACAACATCCCCTGTATCACTCACGTAATGATCTTGTTTAAAGCTTCTTACAAGGACTCCCAGTAAGTGAAGCGGGAGAGGCCCCGATTTCTTCGGTTCTCTGTAGTACTTCCCAAGCACGGGCTTAGCCGCCTCCGTCTGGAACGAACAAACGGAAAACAAGCCGAGAATTAAAACGGGGTACACAATTGAATTGATTTTTCGGCCAAGGAGATTAGTTTCAAGGGGTACTCACTGCTTCTATTAAGTTGTAATGTGGGATTTGAGGGAAGAGATGATGTATAACATGAGTCCCGATGTCATGATGGATGTTGTTGATCCAACCGTAATCGCGATCGATGGTTGTCAATCCTCCTCTTAGGTAACTCCATTCCTGTTTGATAGATACAAAACATTTCAGAAGTGCGAAAGCATTTGCATTGTTTGGAGATCTAACAAAATCGAACACTCTACCTTCCCACGGTACCATGGAAGCTTGTCCTCGTGGCCGTGGTGATGCAAGTAAGTCACTAAGTCCAACCACAAGACAAACATCTGCATTCGGAAGCAAATTTCAAAGAAACAGTTGTAAGATGAGAGAAGGAAGACTTGGTAGAGGCATTCGTTTATGCCAGCATTGCAGAAGCAAAAGCATATAGAGACGGAACCTACCCAGTATGGAACACCGTAGAGCTTAAGCACTTGGACAGGACCCATTGTGAAAGACAGACCGACTAGCAGCGCAGCCATTGCTGTCCAACAGGCAGTGGAAGTAATGATATCTTTCCCTTCATTAGGGAGAAACAGTTCGCTGTTTGGATTGTAGTGAGAGCCATTCTTTCCCGGACTTCGATTCCACTGTGATTGAAATCAGCATATACCAGAAGACATCAGAAAAAGACATCACAAACTCGTTGTTCATGTAAGTAACGAAGAAGTGAGGAAGCGGAAGGCTCACCAGATAGAAAGGATAAGCAAGCATGGGGAATGGCAAGGTGAATCTAAATATCTGAGTCATCTTATCCAAACTCTTGTAAATTTTCTCAGGCAACTGCAAAACCAGATGAGACTAATTACGAGCGAAATAACTTACTTCTTCGAAGTTAATGAAAAACAAATCTAGAGGATGAACAATTTGATACGCCGAATTAAGAACAGAGTTAGACACAAACGGAAACTCACCGGATGCCAAGACTCGTCATTTTCGACGTGTCCATGGTTCTGATGATGAGTTCTGTGGCTAATTCTCCTGTGACAGTAAATGGCCAAATTGTTACTGTGCAAGTTTTGTTACATGTCTGGACAGGATTATATTTTCTGAAAGAAAACTAACCATCCATGGTATGGGACAAGGATTGAAGAATGAAGAAGATGACCAACCACGCTATCAGTTTCGGATTATTCGAGAAGCTTCCGTGGCCACTGCACAAACAAAACAACAAACAATTCACATCAATCGGCTAAGAAAAACTGCAAAAAAATCCACATTGCAAGCAGAACGAGCATTCAAATATTATTTGTTTTCTAACAGCAACATAGACGACGATTCAAACTTGAGTGTGAAAGCCTCGGCCAACTAACCTAAACCAAGAAGCATACAATTCAAGAGGCACTGAAATCCTGAATTAAGTGCACATTTTTGTTCCCGGCCCCTTAAGTGGTTGTAAGCATCGTTAATTGCAAATTAAATGAGTGTTATTTAAACTGAAGAATTTACAGCACAAATCTCGAAACTTAAACTCAATAATTAACGTAGAAAAATACACTCAACTAGAAGAACGTGTAAAAATTAATACTTCAACAGAAAGAAAGCAAACTTTACGTACCAATCATGTCCAAGAACAAAGAGAGCCCAGAACATGGTGCCCTGAGCAACCCAGTAGAGAGGCCAAACAACCCAATTGTTAAAGTAGGCTGCAACAGCCGCCATCCCAAAAACCACCGCCACATCTCTGACCACATAGCTCATAGATCTCCAGGGGTCCTTAACCCAGCAATGCTTTGGAATGGCAGTCCTGATGTCACCCAAATTGAAGGGGGGAGGGGCACCGGGGTCGAATCCACCACCGTCTCGAACCCCATGTGTGCTCACTCTCCCATTATCTTCCCCGTCCACGGATGGGACCCTCAATGGGGCACTCACATTGAGTGACCATTTTGCCTCTCTGAACCCAAAAGGATTGGTGCTTTTGGAGGTGGGAAACGGCCGGAGGGAGGAAGGAACGGTGGGTTTTGACGGGTGGGCGTTTCTGGGATGTGGATAGAATTTAGGAAGAGGTTTTAGGGTGCATTCTGAGAGGACCCAAGTCGCCATTGAGAGACCCAGATGGGGAAAATGCAGAAAGATTTGAGCTTTCAGGTCGGATTGGATGGCGGAATTGAGTGTGGAAGTGGAACTAGTCGGTCATAAAAAGGAGGAGGAGGAGGAGGATAACATAAGGGCCTTACTCCTCCACGTCCAAATACAACTTGTGCTTCTTGTTGCTCGTCCTCTTCTCTCTCTCTCTCTCTCTCTAGGACTATGCAAGTTGCAACTGTTTCTCTCCCCTCCTCTGTTGGTGGATGGTAATAAAATGGATTCTGCGTTAAAAGCTTATTTTGTTTGGAGAGTTTGGTTTTGTTTATATATTGGATGTTGGTGGTATGCGTACAAACAAATTAAAAATTTCTAAGTTTTTTTTTAGTACAACGATATATTTTTACATTAAGGGCATGAGGAATTTGGTTAAGACACACAATAAACAACCTAATTTGGTATCGAATTCGCCATTTACGAGATTCGAATATAATATCTCTCACTTATAAATAAAAAGAAATATCACCGACGTAGTACTAAGTAGCAAAAAATTGCAAGTTAGAAAGGCAAAAAAGGAAAAGAAAGATGGGAATTTTAGATGGGAGGCAAAAGAGAGATGTTGATTGGACAGCGGATCCAAACAAATGTGAAATAATGCTGGGAGTGGACGCGGTCAAAATCTGGCTCCTGTTGGTGGACAGATCTTTTGGTGTCCGAGAAACAAGATCCGTTACATCAAATTATAATAATATAATTAATTAAATAAATTTAAAATGTTAATTAATCATATTACGATAGTTGATGTACTAAATTATTTTTTTGACACATTTAAAAGTTTCTTGTGGTGCAGTCGTGTGATTTTCGTTTGTTCTTTGTCAAATTCGTTTTTGCCCTTATGAATTATTAAAAGTCAATTTTAATTTGTCGTTTTTCAATAATTGAAATCGCAGCGTGACACACATGAACGATATTTTTTCAGTTGAAATATGGATCGCCAATTTTCACATGGCCGGTTCGACCAACCAAGTACTAAACCGTCCTAGTATTATAATTGACCCGACCGTCCTAGTGTTATGATTAAAGGTGTTCGGTGAGTAAAACGTGGACGACAAATCAAATGTCAGACCAAATGAATTTTAGACCCAAGGATAAAGTAAATGGATAAATCAAAGAATCAACCGCATGCGGTTCGTGCACATGTTTTTTGCTTTTTGTTGAGTCCTTACTCGTTTTTGTCGGAAGAGGACGGTTGATGCAAGAAATTGGACCAACGTATTAAGCAGTAAAATCATAATCGCTCACAATATAATACGGTTTAAGCGGTTCATTTGTAATTATTAATCATTAGAAGAAAAAAAACGTACAATTCAAACACAATGGTATATTTGGTCTGGTTATGATTTTACCATCTAACACGTTTGATTAAATTTCACACACCAAGAAGTTGACTGTCTATGACTCCATTGCGTGTGCTCACGGTAGAAGTTTTGAATAAATGTATTGCTGTGTATTTTGATTTAAGTTATTTTCTTTCTAAGATGTGGAATAGAATAACTCAGTTGAAGTGTAACGAACATACGTCTGTAATGCATTGTATGTTCCATAATAGTTCACATTCTTATACCCCTTTCCGGGAGTCAATGACTAATCATAGCTATCACCTTGACACCAAAGAAGAGTTTGACTCAATCCTTTATTTCTATCCTAGTTGATCCTGATTCGACTTGTTCAAGACCACAAAACCAAACTGAACCCGAACATTTTAGCACGTTAATTTTATACAAATTCCAGAACCCCGAAGAAAAGATAGCAATGATTTACAGGGATAGACACAATATAAGAAAAGTACTAGCAATTTATGTACAAAAAATACAGATTGTGGCAATGCTGGATCAAATGCATCAGTAGAACGTGAGAAAATAAAAAATTAGAATGTGCATAGTAGAACGCTCAATCGGGGTACCTTTCTTGAACCGGAAGAGCAAGATTCAGATAAATCTTGATGAATACGTATAAGCACTGGTAACCGATTGATGTCAGCTCGTCATATTTGCCACCATTTTCGATTTTCCATTCTCTTGGCGAGCTCCCTTGCCATTGACGCGAAGTCCTCAGCTCCGCTTCGCAGTTCTTCTGAGTTTTGGCTGAGTTTCTGGTGTGTGCAAAGAAGACATGCTCATCAGCAGATGAATCATGAATTGTGTAGTGACGGAAACAAAATTACACAACGCAAGGATTCTCAATGCCGTGGAATGTGAATGCATCTTTTGTTAGAACAGCGAAAGATAGTAAGACAAGTAAATCCTATGTCAGAATTTGGGATTGCTAGCGTAACATATCCGTGCCATTGATGTTTGTGGACTTCACAGTAAGTCCTACACTCATCAACGGCTGAAATAGATAGCGTCATGTGCCTGTGACTGACTAACGTTAGCATAATTTGGGATCTGAGGCCTCCATTAAAAGAAACTTGTACCTCAAGTTTTTCCTGGCGTTCTGCAAGCTTATCTCTCGCAAGTGCAGCTGCTGCACCTGCAGACACATCCTGAAACAATCGACCACGTTAGAACGTAATCCCCATTTGTTGTCTACGCTTTGTATAGCCATGAAGTCTCTTGAAATACTCATAAAATATTCAAGAAGTACTAAATCTTTTTGTGGAAACAGTAGTTAAGTACCCCAATGTCTCTATATTTAGCCTTGATTTCTTCAGCTGTCCTCATTTTTGGTTTTGTATCACTTGTCGCACCTTCAAATAATCTTTCCTTCTCTGTTCCCTTGTCTGCGAAGAAAACACCGGGGCATCAAGTCAAGACCACTAAAAAAAGTTTCGACCTAGAAAATACAACGGTTATACCTTTATTTTCATTCTTGTTCTTCTCAATTGAAGAAGGGGGAGCAGGTCCATCAATTATGAGAGGTCCGTCAATTACAAGATCGTCTGCACCAAAACAGTTAGACTACGATTACAAAGAGGATGGAGGTAGAGGTAAAAAGGATTAAAACAAAAGATAGTTAACCTATATGAAGCTCCAGAATTTCTTGATCATCCTTCCCATCTTGGGAAGGTTTTAAAAACGGCGGACTTGAAAATAAGCTCTCTAAATTCTCACAATACTTCTCATGATTTGCTGGGTGCATGTCTTGCTCCGCTTTACCCGCTTTTAAGCCCTTGATGATACCGCCTAAAATACCAGGGACACCAATCTGTTGCTAACAAGATGTTCAGGCTCAGCAATAAATTATACCTTCACCACAAAAAAAATGATAAACAGAGCTTCAAGCAACACACTGCAACCTGTTTCTGGCTAACAGATAAACTAGCAATGACATCCGTAGCAGCTGCAATCACTTTATCGTGAAGACAAGGCAACGATTCAGGAATCCTAAGCCAACCAAAATCCAATTGGAAGTATGATTTGTATCAAGTGCTTTGAATAAATTTGCAATGAAGTTATCATTTGAAGCTTAAGGAATGCACACGTACACAAACACGACTATATGAGAGCGGGAGGAGGCTACCTGAAGTCATTTTCATGGGACAAAAGAGATACACAAGCTAATTCACACCCATTTACCTAAAAAGATAAAAAAGAAGTTTGAAGGTTAGAGAGTGCAGCACAAAGCTATAAATTGGAGGTGCAGAATACAAGTGCCTGCCACTGGGAGACCGATGGTTTTCAAGAAAGTTTGGATTGTGAAGCAGATGATTTCCAGTGGCATATAATATACTACAGAAAAATACCGCGTGCTTATACAAAATGAAGAAAGAAACTGACCAGAATAATTTGCCCATGATCAGAGGAGCAGATTGTCTTGTCCATGTTGGTCTTGAAGTTCCATCTCAGAATCGACATTAATGAAAATCCTCCCACCACTTCAAGATTTGGAAAAGACCTGTTGATCGATGGCCAATCTTTATGATACAAATATTGTTCAAATCATATGATAAAACACATTGGTGCCAAATGCATAAAACTTCCCCGCATATGTGCATTCGGTGATCAAAGTAATATCAGGTTACACAGCAAAAAGAACTTGAGAAGCAAGTGCGAGTGCTTCACCTTATTTCAAAAACTCCTGTCTGATAGAATACAACCAGTCCACCATCTTTCCCGTCTTTCTTGAAGGCTGTAGTCCAGCAACATGGTTTTGCAAGGTCCACCTTCTGAGTGGAGTTACTGTCACCCTGGAATTAAGGCAATTTCACTTATTGGTAAAAAGAGATACGGAGATGTTCAACACTAAAATGATAGCCTAAAGGCACCTCAATCACAGACTTCAATGAGCACATCTGTAATGCATTATCACAACAAAGTAAAACAGTTGTGTTCGTTGATCTCTGCACAAAATATGCAGTTTTGCTAGTGGTGTCCTGCTCAACTTCCGGCTGCGTGCTTGCAGGGTCGGCATCATTTTGTGCATGATCCTTTTTAGCTTCAGTTATCTGAGAAACGTCCAACGATTGCTTTGCACTTGGAACATCACATAAAAAATCGCCATCCTCTGCATAAAGACAGTTCTCAGAAAGCCAAATCTATGTTTTTGTTATTCTAGCATAACACCCCCACCCCCATCAATCCCCATCCCCAAAAAACCAAACAAACAAAACAAAATCAATGATTGGAATGAAATTACTCACCAAAAATGTACATTGAAACCGCAGTGAGCTCCTTTTTTAAATTCATAGTCCAAGAGCTAACCATATTGCCAGAGGCACCGTCTATAACAACAATATGCGCATTTCTAGTCATAACGATTATCAACCCATTTCCAGGATCATCCAAACTCTTGGACGCAGAGTCCTCTGGACAATGTGATGTGTTACTGGTATCTGAAAATGATTTTACAGCCAGACAGGTGACTGGGGAACTTGAGTTGGATACACTGTCTGTAAGAAACAAAACTGACATTGTACTAATATCAAGCATCGCAACCTGTATTATGACATCAAAAAAATGAATTCTTGAAATTTATTCATTTGAAATTAACATCCAATCTAAGAACGTAATTGTAGTACAATAAATTTGAGAAGACGATTCTCACCCGGCCACATTCAAAACCCACAGCAAGTCGGCCTCCAAAGTTTGCATATTGTAGGATGCATATAGGTGAATCAAGAATAGAAAACATGGCCGTGCACTGAAGCCCCTTTCCTTGTTGTAAATTTTTAACTGCAACCAGCACCGCTCTTATTAGAAAATGAAACCACAACAACAACAAAGCCTTTTCCCACTAAGTGAGGTCAGCTGTATGAATCCTAGAACGCCAGCACTGCTCTTATTAGAAAATGAAACCGATCCACTAAATTTAAAATCAACGGAATAACAGAGACATCTGTAAATATAAAACCTCCTGCTATTTAAACGCAATAATAGAGACGTCGGCACACAGTTAATATATATGTAAGCCCAACCTTCCTTATCAGTTTTTGTCACAAAGTGCACTCTGGTCTCTTCTGAACCACCTATTAGGTTATAAAGACGAACCTACACAATCTCAAACAAGAACAGAATCACTAAAGTATAAAATTAGGATGACCTAGTAGAAAGGCATCCATAAGATCAACTAAATCTTACCAGACCGCTATCGTCACCAACAGCTAGCCCTATAGTAACAGAACAGAAATCCAATGCTGATACCTTTGCACTTGCGCCCGTAGATCTGATTCCTTTTACCTTCCATTCATATTAAACAAGATAAAATGATTCTGAAGTTTATTCTCGAATATATCATGCAAAAACTGCCTGTGACAGCATACCAACCTCAGGTCCTAAATCACAGTTAAGTGACAGAGCTGGATATGTGGCATCCCATATCCGAACTGATCCATCTTGGTATCCTGCTATATACAATCTCTCGACGTGATAATCTTCAGCAGTACAAAGCTGGCTGGGAATACCACCGGTCAAAGGCCACTTTTTACCACCGGTTGTTGAAGCGTATTCCACGTTAATCTTTCCAACTAAGACTTTCTAATGGCCAAAGACATACAAAGTTAACTAATTCATTCTAATGGCCAAATACGTATAAAGTTAACTAATTCAGAAATAAGGAAAAGAAAAAGAAAAAAATTGAATTGTGATCAGAAACTCAAATACCCTCGAGAGTTTCTTGTGATAAAAACGTATAGTACCTTAGAAAAAACTGAGGAGTATTCCTCATCTCTATGCACCAGAGAAAGCTTTGCAACTGTCATATATGGTTCAATAGTGGGTAAGAACACAGGATACTGCACTGCTGGAACAGCAGTCTTCTCCTTTTGCTGAGACATTAAGGCCAACAAGCAAGCCTTGTCATAGACATGCAGTTGTCCCTGATTTGTCAAAACAAATAGCAATGTGCCACTATTCTCCGTTGCACCAGCAGTCGGTAACAAAACTATATCCGCAAATGAACCATTAAGTTTAAGGTCTGTACGGCCAACGCATTTCAGGCTTTCTATTCCTGAAGACCAATCAAGGCTCAGAACCTGTGAATGAGAAAAGAAACTAATATGTAACAATTATACTAATTATCACAAGAAAAACTGCATAACTAACAAAAAAAACGGAGTAAACAAGCTCATCTGGATCAACACCGTACCGTCAGAACTTCTTGAGATCCAATGTCATCACCACCATAGACAAAGAGTTGGCCCCTATGATGATTATCTAACCTATTTGCAGACCAGTGTAAAACAATGACAGGGAGTCTTCTATCACCGGATGATAACTGTAGCTTTGCAACATTATTATCTAATTTTTCGGATTTCTGATCCTTGGTAGAGGCAGCAGTTGATAAGTCCCAAAGCATTATATCACCATCTACATAGCCAACGGCAAGAATCGACCCATTGTCAGATACCCAACAAAGAGAGCTTATTTCTTTCTCCACCTGCTTGCTTTCTTCTGTAGCATCAGAAAGCTCCTTTGTTGTGTCATCTGGAGAATTAGTAACTGCCTTTTCCTTCACTTTCAGGTCCTTGGAACCTCTAACAAGAACAACTCGGTCCTCGGAAGCATCCCAAATAATGATGAGCCCATTCTCATATGCCATTACCAATCTGCAAAAGAACACATTTATGAATCCATATTTAATTAATGGAAGCGGTAACATGTATGCAGGTGTGAATAGTTATATGGTCGTAGCTTGTATGTGTGCATGCAAATATATGTTTGTGTGCACTATATGTTCATATTAGGAAATAGTTTGAACATTTGGCATTGCTTTGTAATGAAAAGCCAAGATCTAGGTATAGTATCTTCACATGATTTTTCTTGCCTGTTTCCCAGAGAACCAGGTTGGTGGAGAACTCCGACAACAGAAAGATGATCAGGCACTGACATTCCAGCTGCTTCTGCAAAATCAGTAATTAACTCAGCATTAGGATACAGTAGGCATATGAGTTTTTCAGTACATGAAACTACGGCATCAGTGAATTATAAGAGCTTAAGCAATTACCGGCTATGAAATTTGCAGTAATATAGTACGGCAGTAATTTTATTTTTCCATCTTCAACATCATACTTCAACACAGAGACCATTGCATATTCGCTTCCAATATACCTGGCATAACGATAGCGCAATGTTAAATTCCTTTGCCAAGTTTCACTTCGATTTTCAGCCAATTACTGTCAACTGGTTACACAGTACAATAATAAGCTTTACAACTGCTGTACATGTAATTAGTGCCATATATAACAGAGAACGAAGTTATATTGCATTCCCACTGTAAAGAAGAAGCCATTCGCCTCTGTTCCAAATCCCAAACCTGCCAACATCAATAACCTATTAAACCTATCAATATTGTCAGTATATACTATATGAACACGAAAAATGCAACATATAATACAAGGGTCAAGGTGAAAAAATAGATAGAAATCTTAAAGGTATCGGATAATGCCTGGTAGCAGACGTCGGTTTTTTATAATAAAATTGGATAGCTTAAGAAAAAGCAATACCTGAATTTCATTTTCACTTGAGACACTGGCTAGAAAACCCTGATTTTGCAGGAACTGCAGAAATACACAAGGAAAACACGAACTACAAATAGTTAGAAACGTGCGAGATCCCATAAAATTTTGAAATATTTCTCAACGGAAACTAGGCCTCTTGAGGTGGAGCATGAAGACACTTTAAAGTAGGATTGGATTCGGTTTCCTTTTGGAAGAACGATAGCTAAAGTCTTTGTGAGCAAGGACTAGAAATAAAAATAATATACCAATTGCTTCTTGCTTCAAAACTTACTAACCTCTAAGTTTTTAAAGGGCAGCGGCTTTGGAGATGTAAGAAGCCCTTCGATATTATCACCACCGATCACTTTTATCCTACCATCCCTACATTCAATACACAATGAAGTCAACTTCAAGTTAACAAGCTCCCACATTTTGTATGTAACACTCACTTCTTTCTGGTATTTTGAAGGAAGACACTACGGCATCATAAAAATGGACTCTTGAATTTGAACCAGAAACGTTGCAGAGGCTCATGCAAGCAGAATACTGATTGGACATGTATAACATACTGAAATTCGAAAGCAGGCATTGTCTATAACATATGTTAACTCACAGTGTTCCGATTGCCAACAGGCTTTGTGTGCGATCAACTGCGAGAATGGACGAAGTAGATGGGATCCCATAGTGAACAACGACACGAGGATCCAAATCCGCTTGTGTAACCCTTGCCTGAGGCACATTATGCCAGATGAACAATATCAAAAATGCTTCACCACAACAATTACATATTATACAGTTTCAATTACAAATGCGGTAAGCATTCGAAAGCAATTTAGACGATTTTCATTTCGATTTGTTTAGAAACTACACTAATTCAGCATTTAACGTCTCTCCCTATCAAATTTGATCTATGAGATGAGCTCATTAGCTCTGTTTCTCCTTCCAAATTCTTCTTTTTTTCGTGATTAAAACTTAAAATTATTTCATAATTCTAATTTGATCAGCTTCCATTGTAGCACGTCAATTAATTTCACTCCGAAAACAATCAAATTACAAATAAAAATCAATTTTTAACGAAATGCGATTTAGGAAAAAAAAAACTCGAATTCAAATTACAACGGAAAATTATGGAGAGAGTACCTGCGAATTTGGTGGTTGCTGTGAAGATTTGTTGAAGAGCTTGGCAAACATAGTGATGCAGCGACGAGTTTTGGATGGAGCGTCAGCTTCTGTATATTCTTCGTCTGAATTTTGCTGAAAAAACGAAGGGAAAATATGGTTTCTTTTGGTTCGGCTTCTTCGTTTCAGGTGCGGTACGGACGACGATGCTGGCGCGCCACGTAGAGGATGTTTATTGGGAATTGTGTCTTGCAATGGACGGTGATGCAAGGAGGGAGGAGGACTCACGGACCGTCGGATTAGTAAAGTTCTTGCTATGATTGATTTCAGATTAAAGGCGTTTATATGACTCACACCTTCATGACATCATATTTCGTTTTGAGAAATAAAATGTTTTTTTTTTTTTTTAACGGATATGATCTTCAGATGAAATTCTTTCACGGGAGAACGCAAGCAATATCTCTAATAAAATAAAAATATATCGATCATAAATATCTAATCATGATCACAATGATCACGAAATGATGCCCTTTGTAATTACTATTTGGTTTTCATGGATTAGACATAACTCCTTTGTAATTACTATTTGGTTTTCATGGATTAGACATAACAACTTTTTTTTCGACAAAAATAAAAGGCACAACTACTTTCTCTTTCCCTTTTCCTCTTCCGTCTTTTTACTGAGATAAACACCATCCAATCCAATTAAGAGAATCATGTAGCATTCAAAATAATGTTTTCCTTTGCATTTGTTAAGATGTTCTTTATTTTTTTATAGGAAAATTAATGAAAATGACTTTAAAATTTTGAGTTTTAACGATAAGGACAAGATAAATGACAAAGTGAATAGTACTATGATTGATTTTTTAGTGTAAAAATATGATTTTTCATTAAAGTAAACAGTACCGAAAATTTTTCGTTAAAGTTCTATTTTTTTTTTGCCAAATTGTAGATCCAATATAATCTTGTTGGGCTAATGAGGCTGACAAAAAGCATGATAACCTAAACCCCTATCATAAACAAAGGATTTAACATCAATGTTCATTTTCTGTGAACATGTTAACTTGTTATTCACACATCATTATTAACCTCTCACACACTTCTCTGAATTTTCAGTCGTACGATCGAATAAATTAAAGAAGATCAAAGAATAAAAACATTAATAAAAATGTATGAGAAATAAAAATATGTGTGTGGATAACATTATTCTTACCGTTTAACCAAAACTCAAGCATAAGCATTACCTCCCATATATCTGAGATATGGCTTTGGGGAACTGTTTAATTATTTAAGTTTTTTTAGGCTAAATGGTGGTATAAGGAGATATTTGATCAGCTTTTTGGTTTTCAGAAACAGGATACGGGTTTTGAGATGATTAATTACTAGTTAATCTCGTACTTTATGAATAAATAAAACCTAAATAGCAGGACGTGTGCGACCTGCCACTACCAGCAGAGGGACATCCCTCACAACAAGGCAGCAAATTGCCATTACACCAGCATAATTATGAAAAGAATATTGATCGTTTGTGATAATATAGTATTCAGATGCAGCAGCACACTCATGCTGTTATGGAATTAAAGCCGGACAAACATTGTACCGTGTATCTAAAAGTAAGAAAGTTTATCACGATGCATGTTATTCAAGATCCTAATATTTTACGTTATTCAATTTTAATTTGAACAGAATATACACATAAATTATTTGAATTTGTAGTCCAAATTAATAATTCGATAGGGAATTTTTTGAAAAAATGTAGCGCACATTAATAGCGTCTAAATGTTCCTTAATCTAGTCATAAATTAAAGAACCTAGCCTCTTTGTATGGATCTCATGCAAAACCAAAACCTATTTCCAAGCCATATTTTTCTTTTGTCAATCCATAGCCAACATAATTTACCATACAAGAATTTGTAATTCTCATTTCTTATTTTTGCATAATTGGTATCTAATTAACAATTTAATTACATCCATTTTATTTGGTCTCCCACTGCCACGTGTATAGATGCATGTTTATAAAATGGACAAGGATTGTCTGCCCTCCTTGTTCCCGTGTCCTTCCGTGCCCTCTTTTTTGTGTGGTCACGGTTAAGCCACGTCAACATTTTATATTATTTTTTTATAGAGATAATAAGATAAAAATAAATAATAATATAAAATGTTGATGCATGTTTATAAAATGGACAAGGATTATCTGCCCTCCTTGTTCCAGTGTCATCCCGTGCCCTCCTGTTTTGTGTGGTTACGGTTAAGCCACGTCAACATTTTATATTGTTTTTTTTATAGAGATAATAAGATACAAATAAATAATAATATAAAATGTTGACATGACTTAATCGTGACCACACAAACAGAAAGGTATAAGAGGGCACAGGAACAAGGAGGGTAGACAATCCTCTCCTTATAAAATCGAGAGAGGCACCACATGATAATGCTGCCCTACAAGAAGTCAGCCTTTTCAAACATCAAAAGACACATCCTCTCAACACACAAGCAACAGCAGCAGCTACCACTGCCACCATGCACGGCGGCGCCACCTCAGCACCACCCCCAACACCCTCCAACAACCTCTTGTCCACCTCAGATGCCGCGACAGCAGATGCCCTCTCGAGGCTCCTCCACCGTCTTCCTCCTACTCTCTCGTCCCTTCCCACACGCCGCTCACCTCCCAAGACGTGTCCACAATCGATCTCTTTCTCCGACGTCCAAGCCAACCCGACCCTCCTCTCCTGCGCTTCCCAACTCGGGTTCTTCCAGCTCACCAACCACCCTATCCCATCCCAACTCGCCAACTAGGCAGAGTCGGAAGCGCTCTCTCTGTTCGACCTTCCTACACCTCAAAAACAAACATCCGTCCCCAAGAGCTGGCCTTTAGGATTTGAAGACGACGACGAGGATAACGGAGACGGACTCGGTCAGTCGTTCTGTTTGGACTCGTCGTGTTCCACCGAGTCGACCGAGTTGTCCTTAACTTCTTTGCGCGAGTTCACTCGTGCTTTGGAGAAAGTGGGGCTGGAGGTCATCGAGCTGCTTTGTAGCTCATTAGGGTTTCAGAACCCACTAGGGAAAGATGACCCGACCCGGTTTTCTACCATGATGTGGATCTCTGAGGGCTTACCAGATAAGAAGTCGCAGACGGCGGGTCGGTTTTACCCGTATGTAGTCGGGTTACAGTACCAAATCCGAAGTAGTCAGACGTACTCCTTGCTGGCGGATTCCGGTTGGCTCTCGGTGTTACCGCAGGTGGATTCAATCATGGTTACCATTGGTGACATTGCTCAAGTAAGTTTTGTTTTAAAACTCCAAATATTACTGTAAGAGACAACAGCCTTAGTCGAAATACATTACAAAGTGGATCCTACAAAATGTGTTTCAAAATGTGTGTCTAAAGCGGATGTTCCAGTTCCTAACCATATATTTATTAAAATGGGAATATTATATATGTGCAGCAGTGGCGAAGCCAGGATTTCTCGGGGGGAGGGGCGAACTTAAAAGAGTGCAAGGTTAAAGAAAAATGGTGATAGTGTCTACGAATTGTTTCATGATAATTATGTGGATAATCAAGCATTCGAAGTCTATATGCAGGGTCTGCAGGAAGATTAACCAATATTTCATCTAATTTAGTGGCATCACTTTGTTGTGATCTACTCGGAATATTCGAATGAGGACTTCTTGGAATATTTGAAGGAGGAAGAGGACTACTCGGAATATTTGAAGGAGAAGGACTACCCGAAATGTTTGAATGATGATTTAAGCATTGTTTCTTATAGTATCATTCAATTACGTAACTGTAAAATGGAAAGAAAAAAAATATCTTAAACTCTTAATCCTAGAGTAAACTATACTATAGTATGCATAATAACTAATCCAACCTAACAATTCAATTAATCAATACCAATACACATACAAATTATTTGATAAATAAAAATTCAATTCAACTAATAATCAAGAATTCAAATTTTTTTTCACCCTAAAAAATATTTTCATATCAATAATCGTAGAGTCATATCAATAAGCAATAACCAATAACCATATTAGTGCATTATCATATGATTCTATACCAATTAACAAAATTCGTATTAAATAATTAATTAGGGTTAAGGATTATAAATTTAGGAAATAAAAAATTTACCTTTGATTGAAGCTGGAAGTCGCGGCTCAGATGAATAGTGACTGGTGTGATGGCTGCAAAAAGCCAACGGGAATCAAGATCAACCTTCCTAACTTTTCCATTCCGTTGGGCTGGGAGTGGGCGTTGGCTACTGGGAGCAAAGCTGCTCTCTCTCTCTCTCTTTGATTGGTGAATGAGAGAGGTTGAAGGGTTTGAGGGAAGTGGGGACACGGGGACATGCATGTGGCGTTTATTTTAAAAATTTTAACTTTTTTTTACCAGGACCAAAACTATGTCGTTTTGGCCTGGATGTTTTAAAAAAAATAAAATTTTGTTGCTGCTGCTGCGCGCAGCAGAAACAGAACATCGGAAACAGAGGGCTGCACCAGTCAGTTTGCCGATGAGGGGAGGGGCTGAACCCAGCTCTCCAGTGGTGTTTTCCGACGAGGGGAGTGGCGGCCGCCACTCCTCGCCCTCACGTGGCTTCGCCACTGTGCAGGTATGGAGTAATGGGAAGTTGAAGAAAGTGAGAGGAAGGCCAGTGGCATGTTTGGGAAACGACTCCAAGCCATCAGGTCGCTGCATATCAATGTCGCTGTTGGTGACTCTTCCCATGGACAGTACATTGTCTCCTCTTCTTCAAATTGCAGCCATTGATGGAAATGACAGAGATGATGATAATGATATGCAGGATATCAAATCGACGGTAGATGTGGGGGTGGCGAAAGAGAAGCAGGAAGGTTCTTTAAGTCATTTTGTCTCGAAGACTATGCTTGGAGAGTGTATCATGAACGCCTATTTTTCAAAGATCCACTGGACAGATATCGTATCAAGAAACAATTTTAATTTAATTTCATAGCTAGAAATGCAGCATGTTGTTGTTTTTTGTTTTTTATTTCTGGGATAAACTCAGCTGTTTTTCATTTGGTAACTCATTGAAGCTTAAATCTATATCTTTTAAATTAGAGATGTTAATACCTTGTCATTTACTTTTCTGATTAAATTTTTAGATCTCACATGCACCAACGGTCCAAAAGTAATTACATACTACTCAACAGCTTTTGATGGAATATGAGAAGATTGAAATGATATATATAAGAGTAATGCTATTCATACCGTGTTTTTATACCACATTTCTATACCACTTAGGTGGCATCTAATGTGATATGGATAGCCACATCATTTGAAAAATTTGCAAAACTCAAGGAAATGAAGGAGAAAGACTCTTCGTATACCACAATCATCATTTAATTAATTATTATTTTTTAATTATCTCTACTAATTAATAAAACTTTCTTTGTCAACCAAAAGAGAGTGAAAAAATAAATTAGTCTTCTATCACAAAAAAAAATGATGGGCAATAATGTAATGAAATAGGTCCAAATTTTTTTTTATTGAAGCATCACTTATATATGATGTTAAAATACCTCCAATATTTATATAAAAAAAACAAAACAAAAAAAAACCGAAAACCGAAAACAAAAACCTCCCACTCCTTCACGTTCTCTCTCTCTCTCCCTCTCTCCTTCTCATTTAAAAAAAAATATGTTTATACACACAAAGTGTGCAGGCAAATGCTAGTTAGTTTATTAAATAATGAACTAAATTTAAAAATCTGATTAATTCAAATGATGTGGTTATCCATATCAAATGTCACCTAAGGTGGTATGAAAATGTGATACAAAAACATGGTATGAATAACATTACTTCCCCTTTTTATTATAAATGTACCCAATTTTTCAATATAAAATCCATTCAAATTTTTTTAATCCATTTTTTTAAATTATATGGGCACATTCTTTTTTGTTGATTTGAGAATGTATCCATGTCAAGTTTAATTGAAGAAATTTACTAAAGACTAATATCTTTTTTTTCATGTGGTTTTTGAAGAATACCCATGTTTTGGTACAATAATTTTTTTTTTTTTGTTAATTTGATGAATGTACCTATTGTGGATGCAAATTTCTTCCTCCTTGATCTTGGACAAGATTGCACATACAAAATAATTTACACCTTAGGTCAAGGCTAAGAGCCTCACGCGCCCACGATGAATGGGGGGGGCTTTGGCCGAAGAACCTCCGATGCCAAAGTTAGAATTTAGAGAGAAAATGTTTGAGAATTTTGGAGAATCTTAGCAAGTGAATGAGAAGTGTCTTTTGGAGAAGAGAATAGGGCTTTTATAGGGGAGTGTGGCCTTGGTGATTCAATTTAGCAATTAATATATTAAGTAGGTATAAATATATTAATTGGCTAATTATCATAATAAAAGAAATGTTTTGGGAGGTTATGGAATGAGGATGGATGAGACAAATTTGAACTTGTTGCCTATTTTAGGTACTTCTGATTTGGTTGATGGATGATTCTCCATTGCTCGCGTGTAGGAAACCTGGTATGCCTCAAGGGTAAATTTGTCATCTTCAACCAAAAATCCACGTGTCGCCTTGTGATTATTTTTGGCTCCACAAATACCCCCACACCTACTGGGCTGCTCATAGGAAAGGGCAACATGTGTAGAGATCTTCTTGCTCTAGGAAACTTATGACTGCTTCCTTTTTTGATGTAGATTCCCTTTTTAATATGAAATTAGATCCTTCTAGGAAAGGGAAATAAATTTCTCTCAAAGCCTATTTAAGTCCACCTTAAGTGGGTTGTTAAATCAAATTTGGAGAGCGATTTATTCTACCCTACAAGAGAGAGAAAGAGAGAGCTTAAAGGATATTTGTTCCCCCTCCTCTAGCAATCTTCTACATCTTGTCCATGCAAAGGACCATCTTTCGTTGCTTTCTTTATCTTCTCTGCGCCGCACCGATGTAAGGAAAACTTAATTCTCCTTGTCTTCTTCTTAGGAGGTACTACCATGGGGCAGCCGCCGGGGTGGTGCGGCACGTCGGCTGGCAGGGGCCAGGAGTCAGCTTGTCATGGCATGGGCTATTGCTTGTGCTGTTCGGCTTGATTGAAGCCAAAGATTAGCTCGACATGGGCCGAGGAAGTAGCGTGGCATGGGCAATGGTTTAGACTACCATGTCTAGGCTGCTAGCCAAAATGAGGAAACTGCTTGAGTTTGATTTCTCAACTGATGTAGATGAAGCAATCAAGGATAAAGCTGCCAAGATCGGAGCTGCTGAAGATGAAGTGTCAGATGAGTGAATTGTTAAATGCAAAAGTGGCTGCTGCCCCTGACCATTTGATGCCTAGTTGATCTTCAAGCATTCGATCTTTTAAGTTATGTGGCATTCTCGCGTTGGAGAGCTTACCCAGATGGGTGTTGGGGAATTAGTTTACCCTTTCGCATTGGAGAGCAATTAATTTACCCTATCGCGCTGGAGAGCAATTAGTTTACCTTATCGCGCTGGAGAGCAATTAGTTTATCCTCTCGCACTGGAGAGCAAACTCATATGGGTGTCGGGGAATTAGTTTACCCTTTCGCATTGGAGAACAATTAGTTTATCCTCTCGCACTGGAGAGCAGACCCTTTTGGGTGTCGGGGAATTTGTTTACCCTCTCGCACTAGAGAGCAATTAATTTATCCTCTCGCACTGGAGAGTAAACTCGTATGGATTTTTAGCAGTCGTTGTGGACAACAGTTGAGCCATGCTTGTGAATAACTTCTTGAATCTTCATTGAGAATAAAGAAATAAATCAACTATGCTGGAAGGCAGAAATTGTATAACAAACTAGATAATCTTCGGCTTGTGAAGCCTTGTTCGTCAAACTACTTGAGACTTCAAACTTATTTGGAAAAAACCCAAACGAGGTTTAGGGGGTGATGGAGACTTCCCATGTTTGTGTAGGCAGTTTTGTTGACTTGTTAAGATATTCGTCACATCGGCCCTCATTTGTCAGCTTCTCAAGATACTGCTTCCACTTCAGGCAGCCGTTGGTAGTGTGGCCTGGTCTTTGATGGAATGCGCAATATTTTGTATGATCCAGCCTGGTAAGATCGCCTTTCATAAGTGGCAGCAGTTCGAACCAAGGTTCGTTCTTGAGCTTGCGGAGAATTTGGCCGATTAGAACTGTGAATTTGGTGAATGTTTTAGGCGATGAGCCTTATCTAGTTGGGGAATTCCATGTGTTTCTTTTCCGACTCGTTCTTGTTAGACTGCTTGGCCTTGTCCCATAATGCATGTTTTTCTGCCAAAGCATACAAAGCTGCTAGGGTCAGTTCTTCTCCTATGATCAGTTTTCCGAATAAAGGATGTTCGGCGGGAAGTCCATTTCTGAATGCTGTCGTTGCTTTGTCTTCGTTACAACCAACAATCTTAGCCTTCTCCGCTTTGAATCTTTTGACATAGTCGCGAATTGTCTCCCAAGGGTCTTTTACGATGCTGAAGAGATGGTCGGATGTCCTTTTGATTGAGCGGTTAGACGAATAATCCTTAGTGAAAACAAAGGAAAGTTCGTTGAAACTCTGGATCAACTGCGGCGGCACAGTGTGAAACCAGTCTTGTGCCTCGCCTTGTAGAGTTGCGGCAAAAATTTTGCACATAAGCGCATCGTTGTTCCTATAGAGGATCATGGTACTGCGGTAGTGCTTGAGATGTCGATCTGGATCTTCATCTCCCTTGTACAGAATGAAGTGAGGCATAGTGAACTCGCGAGGTGGATATGTCCGCTTGATCTCATTCGTGAATGGTGACATGCTTATGTTGGTCATGTCTTGTCGAAGTGCATCGTCAGTAGCCTTGTTATGTTGGAAATTATGCAATCGTCAGTAGCCTTGGTATGAGTCTCTCAACTTCTTCTTTAATTTGCCTCTGCTGGGGCAGTGGAACTTTCAGCTGCATCCAATCGTGACCTATGGGTCTAGGCTGCTCTTCTCTATGCTCAACTCGTTCATGTCGCGGCTGCGGTGCATGTGGCATGTACTTGGCAGGCGAACGGACCGTTTGCAGGCTGTCGGTTGAACTTGAGTCGGATTGAGTGACTGTTTCTCTCCGTCTGCCGTGCTGCCTACTCCGATGTAAGGTAGAGAATGCTCCTTGCGAGCCTAGTTATGAATGAACATTTCGCCTGGAAGGTTATCCATGTTGATAATCGAAATGTGACCTCAACTGTGAACGTATGCTCGTCCGTGGGCTTGATTGGGAATGCACGCTCCTCCGCGCGCTAAGACGAAAGTATACGCTATCCCAATGACCTAGGCGAGAGCGTAAACTGCCAGAATGCTTGGAACGTGGCTGGTTAAAGGGTTTTTTGTCGGGACGTTGGTGGAGATGTTCATCTGTCCTTGTCCTACTTCAGGACACCTCGTTCGAGGCATGTTGGATCTCGGTGCGTTGCAAGAGTTGATTCACCAAGGTTGTCTGTTGTGCAAGGGCGCTCGTCAACTCTATGACTTGTCGAGACAAGTGTTGTTCGCCATTTAGATTGGAAGAGCTTTGAAGGAATATGCCTCCTTGAGCAGTGGAAGTGTGGTAGACTCCGGGTGTAAGATTTGAGTTTGGAAATGTCAAATCCGCAAAGAAATGTGGTGAAAATGCCCCCAGCTTGATGGTAGGTCCAGATGGTTGAGATAGTCTTGGGCTGCGGAAGTAGGCTAGGCAAAGGAAGTGGGCTACCTGGAGGAAGTAAGTTGGGCCGCGGAAGTAGGCTGGGCCACGAGAATAGGCTGCTCGGTGGGAGAAGGTTGGGCCGCAGGAGCAGGCTGGATCACAGGAGCAGGCTAGGTCGCGGGAGCAGGTTGGGCTACAGGAGCAGGCTGGGTCGCGGGAGCAGGTTGCTCAATGCGTGGTGCATGCGAATGCGGGGCTTGGGCACGTGCAAGCTTGGATGGCATGGCTTGGGCCATGGTGGAACCTTGTAGTGGTAATGCCACTCTACTTACGACCAAATTTTGCCTCATGGATCTCCGCGATCCCATTTCTTGAGTATTGGAATTTTCACTTATGGAATTTTCTAAATTTCTAGCCATTATATTTTTCTTATACGTTTTATCAAAGAACCTTTGCTAATAAAAAATTAATAAGAACGTATGAAAAATATTCAAATAGACTAAAATATAGAGAAAAAACTTTTTTATGCGAGAGTTTTCTACGAGTATGAATTTCAACTCTCAATGAAAGCACTAATTTGTGGATGCAAATTTCTTCCTCCTTGATCTTGGACAAGATTGCACTTACAAAACAATTTACACCTTAGGTCAAGGCCAAGAGCCTCATGCGCCCACAATGAATGAGGGGGAGTTTTGGCCAAAGAACCTCCGATGCCAAAGTTAGAATTTAGAGAGAAAGTGTTTGAGAATTTTGGAAAATTTTAGCAAGTGAATGAGAAGTGTCTTTTGGAGAAGAGAATAGGGCTTTTTATAAGGGAGTGTGGCCTTGGTGATTCAATTTAGCGATTAATATATTAATTAGGTATAAATATATTAATTGACTAATTATCATAATAAAAGAAATGTTTTGGGAGGTTATGGAATGAGAATGGATGAGACAAATTTGAACTTGTTACCTATTTTAGGTATTCCTGATTTGGTTGATGGATGATTCTCCACTGCTCACGTGTAGGAAACCCGGTATGCCTCAAGGGTAAATTTGTCATCTTCACCCAAAAATCCATGTGTCGCCTTGTGATTATTTTTGGCTCCACACACACACACACACACACATATATATATATATATATATATATATATGTATGTATGTATGCATATACACACAATATAATAGAGAGTATATTTTATATTTTGTTATTTTTAATCCCACAAATTATGACTTTTATTTAAAATCTCATTAATATAAACAAATACACATTTCAATTTTTAATTTAAAAATTATAGTAATTTACATTATTACATTAATGTCAGGGACTTCGATAAAAAACTAAAAATAGACAAGGTTTCAATCAAATAATATTGATAGCTATGGATCGCATCAAAAGTATCCCTAATTATAAATACTTGTACTCAAAACATAATTATGTTATATGAGTAGTTTTTTTTTTTAACAAATGATATTCTCTACACTAAGGAGGAGGGGTGAGTTTAGCCTCACAATAAGCTAGCATAATGTGGTTCAAATTCGTCTTTGGTGAAAATCGAATCTAAGACCTCACACTTACAAGTGAAGACAAATATCATTATATTGTAGTACTAAGTGATTATTATGTGAGTATTAGTTGATAAATAGTTGGTAATAGTATGACAAAAAACAAATAATTAATTAAAGTTCTTAATATATATTATTCATGGGTTCTAAGTTCTAACTTCTAATTAATGGTGTCCCAAGTCGGGCATTCGCAATGTTGTTAATTAAAACCCAACCCATTTTTTCACAGAAAGAAGAACCTAATCATTTTTCAGAATTTCATGTTTTATCTAACGCTTGGATTCTATCAAGTCATGATATCTATGTACGAGAGGCGACAGGAGAAGAAAATAGCTAGCTTAACAAGCTTAACAACAGTTTGTAAAAGGAGTGACATACCTGTCATCAAAAGATAAGAGTTGTCAGGATCAATGACATACCTGATATCGTATCTTGACAGCCATCAACTATGGCTTGCTTCTTGCTAGAGAGAGACACAGGAGCTTCTGGGTTCTTTTCTCTCTTTTTCTGGGTCTGGGCTTCTTGCTTCTTCTAGGTTTAGGGGCAGATGAGAGATCAAATTTTCATTTGTTTTATTTTTTATTTTGCCACGTGTTGGCTTTTTGTGATGTTATTTGTTATGATTTCATGCCATTAGATAGGGCATCAACAGGTAGGATTGAACTTGTCTAGGATGGTGTAATCGCTCTTTCTATTTGGTAGCCAAACAGTACTTGGTATTAAACAGTATATTTGTAAGGCGTAAAAGCACATATTTGGTTGCTCGGCAAACAATAAATTGCTTTGTAAAAGTACTATTGAACAAGTGCTGCGACAAAAAACGCTATTTTATTGATTGATAATGCTTTATAGAGTAGCACTTTTAAACGAGGCCAAATCTTTTTTTTTATTCCAAATATATTTATGTATACTTTGTCCTCCTCATATTTTAGATAATAGTAAATTGTTTGATGATAGACTCTCCTGTGGTATAACTTGCAACTTTTTATCATGTTCAAATACACTACAGGCATAATGACTATGGTGGGTGAATTGCAATCTACCACGATCATCGACCATAGTAAATGATTTGTTAGCTATGTTATCACATCTTACATACAAAAATACCAATTTCTTTCCATGTAATTGTTTTTTTTTTCTCTCTCTCTCTTTTTATAGGGTAATGCTAGAGAGACTAAATTTGCAAACTAAATGATGTGTCACCAATATGGTTGAGCACGTTTATCAACGCTTAAGTAATAAATCAATCATCAACTTTCATGTCTTTTAGTTTTCAAAAAATTTTATCTACAAATTTAATCTTCTTAGCATTACTCATCTTTATAATAAATGACATGCTTTTTGTTTTTGTTTTTTATATTTATTTTCTATTTTTATGAATTGACATAGCTGTAAAACGTCTGTGTTGGAGTGGTTTTGCTGCAGCAGTTGGCTTGGCTTGACTTGGAAAACAAGCAAGCTATCCCACCATCAACGCACGCAGCGGAAGTGCACACTCAAACAGGAAGAGCAGAGAGAAGGAAGGAGAATGTTGGTTATACTCACTACACCACGAAAAAGCGTTCCTTAGACTTCACTTTTTTCTCAAACATAAAGGCACCAATAATTTGGATTTGTTCATCTAAAACACATCATTATGAAAGAGGCTTGACCTTAATAATGCATCAAATATACGCTTGGGCAGTTGAAGCTTCCTTGTTGGAGACAAAGATACGTCACATGCATGCTAATTGCTAGATTGAGGGGTGAATTTTAATTGAAATTCTAGGGCTTATTGCAATGCTAGGGCTAATCGAGCACACGCATTGTCTGATTATGGTCGTTGATGTTTTATTGAAACACGCATGTGTTTTAATTGATCATGACTGTTGGATGTTATGCGAAGACACACACAGGTTGATTGATTTTAATTGCTGGCTCCACAAATATCAACCGTTAGAATCACTCTACTACACCTTCACGACTAATCGTAATTAATATAAGGTAAATGGTTTCCTCACACCTTTTTGCTCCTCTTACATACTAATGTTTATTTTTAACATTCATATTGAAAAATTCAAAATAAAATCAAATGATAGAAAGAAACAAGACCATGCGAAAATTTTCATGTAACTCAATATTATATTGACATGATATATGATTAGGTAAACCTTTTTTTTAATAAAAATGATTGGATAACTTTGAGAATAATGATGGTTACTAGATTTTTCAATATGTCAAGAACACGGATGTCATATGTCATTATACAAGTTGTGGAGGGATACTTGAAAAAAAAAAAAACTTCTCTCTACTTATATAATAAGTTAATGCTAGAGAGATCAAATTTATAAACAAAACTTTGTAAACTAAATGACATGGAAGTTAATTATTGGATTAAGCGTTGATAAATCGTATCGTGTTCTAGTCTCACTGAAAAATCTCTTGATTCTTATAATCATCATTATTTTTTGGTTGGCCCCTATTAGTTTTAGACTCCAAACAATAAAAAACCAACATTTGGTATTAGAGTTGGAAGTATAATGTTAGTTTAATTAGTTTGTTCATTAGCAAATGTTTTATTTGATTAAGGCTTACAATGGTCTCCTATACACTCTACTTCCTTATCCATGACATAATTATTTAAGACCCACATTTATATTATTATGAGAAATTGGTTATATTTGTTGCATAAAATAATATTTTCTCTTTATAATCACCAAACTAATATTACCTATTTTCCTAAACAAATATTGCTTTATTTATAACATACATATGTATTCAACTTGTTCCATACATGAGTAGCATGCATATATAAATTTAATAAGGATGATGATAGAGAGACTATCTGCTTGAATCGTATTTTGTAGACTTTATGATACGACAGTTGATAATTAAATTCATTTTTTAAATCATTAAAGAAGGAATTCAACCATCAATTGTTGCATCATGTGATCTACAAAATACGATATAAAAATTTAATCTCCCTAACATCCCAATCTAATCTGAAAAGCCAAAAGCACATTATGACCAAAGTTCAAACTCATGAATGAAGTTCAAGCATTATCTCAAACATAAAAATACCACATGGACATTATTTAGTGAAAAGTGAAAGTGAAAGTGAAAATTATAGGTAATGAGATTAAATCACTATATTAGCCCTTTGACTCTAGAAAATTATAGAGCTCAGGGGGACCTCCAAACAACTGTGTGAAAGTTGAAGCTTCCCCATCAAAATCTGTAAACAAAAACAGATTATCTGCCATGGAGTTGAGTTCCACATCACCACCACAGCCTGCAAATCATCCTCATTCACCTGCAGATTGGGACCAACTTGCCAGAAGCTTTGAGATTACATCCACATCACCACCACAGCCTGCAAATCATCCTCATTCACCTGCAGATTGGGACCAACTTGCCAGAAGCTTTGAGATTACTTCTCTCTCTCTCTCTCTCTCTCTCTCTCTCTCTCTCTCTCTCTCTCTCTCTCTATGAAGCCAAGTTGAAGGGAATTAATTAGATTTTTTTTTAAATAGAAAAGAAATAAGCAAGAGAGACAATTGTCCCTCCACCAAAAGGCCAAAAACCATTTCTTGAAGACAAACACATTTCACCAAACACCTAATTAAACAAATCTCACAATCCAATAATCCTACTAAAACTCCCTTAATTCTCTCTTAATCTACACCTTCATATCTTTCACTTTTCTTATATTTTCCTTCTTCCTCCTCCCTCTCTCCCACTCCATCTCTCTATCTCATGCAGCTACCTCGCAGAAAAACTCTCTCTCTATCCGAATCTGCGGCAATGAAGGTACGCAAGAACAACCACCTCTCCATCTTCGTCGTTGTCTCTTCGGTCTTCCTCTTCGGGGTGTTCATGTACAATGAGGACGTGAAGTCCATCGCCGAGTTTCCATTCTCGAGCCACAAAACTCAAGAGCTACAGGAAGAACGACAGTCGTCGAAACAGAGCGACCCGGTTCAAGAAACGAAACAGACCGACTCTGTTCATGAAACCCAAAACAGAGTGTCTCTGAGCTCGAGAACCCAATTGGCAGAAACCCATTTGGAGAATCACAACTCTGAGGAAACCCAGTTGGAGAATCATAATTCGGAAGAAATCCAGTTGGAGAACAACAACTCGGATGAAACCCAAGAGCCGGTTGATCTGAAATCCATCGTCGAACAACACGACGATCAGAAGATTGAATTGTTGGGTTCTGCTCAGGAAGAAGAGGAAGAGGAGGAGGTTGAACTGCCGCCGGAAGATTGCGACTTGTTCAACGGAGATTGGGTTTTCGATCCGGTGACTCATCCTTTATACAAAGAAGAAGAATGTGAGTTTCTTACGGAGCAAGTGACTTGCATGAGGAATGGAAGGAAGGATTCTCTGTACCAGCATTGGAGATGGCAGCCCAAAGGCTGTAATCTCCCAAAGTATGAATCTTTAATTGTCAACTATTAGTTTTAATTTCTGGTTTTTTTGTTTAATTACGGTTTCGATTAGTGCGTGATCGTTGTGATTAGGTTTAATGCGAGATTGTTGCTGGAGAAATTGAGGAACAAGAGGCTGATGTTTGTTGGAGATTCACTGAATCGAAACCAGTGGGAATCCATGATTTGTTTTGCTCAGTCTGTTGTTCCTCCGGGCAGGAAGAGCTTGGTGAAGAATGGCTCCCTCTCTGTTTTCAGAGTTGAGGTGTGCATGTATTCGTTTTTCTTCTTTACCTTTTCTCAGTTTCTATTTTTTTAGTAGAAAAATGATTTCTGCATGCACGGGCTATGATGAAAATTAAGAGTGCAATTTTGCTCATCACCCGATTTATCATCGTTAGATAAGTTTGAATATTGAGATTTGTGCTTATTCACTACACGAATTTCGATATTCAAACTCATCTAATGATGATAACTAGGATGGTGAACATACACCATATTAAGGGCTAGTTTGGTATTACCGTGTTTTGAAAAAAAACTGTTTCCGCTGTACTGTGAGAATAAGCGGCCGTGAAATAAAGCTGTAGAGTGTTTGGTAAACTTTTTTGTAAAAATGCTTTTGAAAAAAAAAAAGGCAATATTATAGTGTTTGGTAAACTTTTATGTAAAACAGATGTGAAAAAAAAGCTGGTTTTTCAAAGTTCAGTTTAGCAGCTTCTTGTTTTTGGCTTTTTTTTCACCAAAAACTGTGAAAAAAAGCTGAAGCTGAATGTTTACCAAACACAAAAAAGCTCCCAGCTTTTTTTTATACCAATTTTTTTTTCAAAATCACCTCAGTACCAAACCAGGCCTAAATAATGTTGAGCAAAAATGCTCCGAAAATTAATGAAAAGTTGGTCCCAAGAAAATAAAAATAAAATAAATATACTAAAAAAGTGTGGGTAGGTTGTTGATGACGTCATCCATGACCCATATATGTGACACTTCTTACAAAAGTATGAAACCTATATTGGCATACGCATATTTTACGCTTTTTTATATATATATTTTTTAATAGAAAAAAAGTTGGTGGTTTTGTCACTACAGTTCACCATTCTGATGGTCAGGAAAACTCAGAGACATTTCAGCTTCTCCCGCCATCATTGTGTGATTCATTAAGACCAGGAATTGAACTCAGAACATGCCATATAAAATATGAACATGAAATTCGTTCTCAACCACTGAACTAATACTTACATATTTTGGAAATTGGCTTATGATTTTATTTATGTGGTTTCAGGATTATAATGCAACGGTGGAGTTTTATTGGGCGCCATTTCTGGTGGAATCAAATTCAGATGATCCAAACATGCACAGCATATTGAATCGAATAATAATGCCCAAATCAATTAAAAAGCATGGTGAAAATTGGAAGGGCGTCGACTATCTAATTTTCAACACATACATTTGGTGGATGAACACTTCCAAAATGAAAGTTCTGTAAGTACCCCACTTAAACATGCTCACAAAAATTAAAGTTTGATTTCATAGCAATTTCAAGAAATTAATTTGGTTTTATTCGTTGCTTCGATTGAAAAGACGAGGATCGTTCGATCAAGGGGCGACGGAGTACGATGAGATGGACCGGCCGTCGGCGTACCGGAGTGTTATAAGGACGTGGGCTAAGTGGGTGGACAAGAACATTGATCCCAATCGGACCACCGTCTTCTTCAGCAGCATGTCTCCACTTCACATCAAGTAATTTTCTCACCCATTTTATTTTTCTTTTCTTTTGCTTCAAAATGTGGAAACGGTCTTGGAAAATTTTGCATAAAAAGACAACGTAAAACAAAAGCATAAATAATAATGACGAATTCTCAGCAATTACAAGAAATTTATATAATTAAAGTCATTGTCTAACTACTAAAATAATCTCAAAAAATAATTGGAAGTATGCATCACCCCATGCATACTAAAGAATCTTAGTTTGGTGTATACGTAGGTTAAGTGCTCATTTAAAACTGCTTTTAAAATAGCTAAAAACGTTTTTTGTGAAAATGTTTTTCGAACCAATCTTTAGTAAAAATAAAATCAAATCATGGAAAAACACTTGAAATATTTTCTACAATAAGCACATAATTGGTGTTTAGTGCTTTTAGAACTTAGAAATATTTTCTCTAAAAACTTTTTCAGTTATTTTAAAAACATTGTTAAACGAGCCGTAAATCAGCTAAAGCCAAGTGCATGCTTTCTTGCACCTGTTTTTTTGCACTCAAAATTGAATCTATCTCCCTAACAATAATACATGTTTTTTGATTTTTCGGTTGTATAGTGTGTGAAAGTGAAACATAGAATACAATAATACACCTTAGGTGAGCGTTAGCTTGTGGGTGGTTGATTGTGGGTCTATGAAAGTGAACACCAAAGTTTCATTTGACCCCAATATTTGGTTGGTTAACCACTAAATATTTCCAAATGACGTGGCAGTATGTGCACATGTACAGAGACGAGAAAATGTTGGGTATGAATCTAGAGTACATTATCCTTATCTCACAAAAATATGTAACCACATATTTGTTTTACTCAACGTGAGAACTACCCTAATTCGACACCTTATCAAAACTTCTTTGTACTGATACATCATTTGGCGAACATATTTGACGGAGTTTATTACTTTTTTTCTAACCCTAATAACCTCTGTGATGTAATAGGAGCTTGGATTGGAACAACCCCGATGGCATAAAATGTGCAAAAGAAACCACACCAATTTTGAACACGACAACTCCAGTGCATGTGGGCACGGACCGCAGGCTCTTTGTGATTTCAAGCAACATAACTAAATCAATGAAAGTGCCTGTCCACTTCCTCAACATCACAACCCTCTCCGAGTTCCGCAAAGATGCACATACCTCAGTGCACACCATCAGGCAAGGCAAGTTGTTGACGCCGGAGCAGCAAGCCGACCCGGCCACTTATGCAGACTGCATCCATTGGTGCCTCCCCGGGTTGCCCGACACATGGAACGAGTTCCTGTACACACGTATCATCTCCCGCTCTTGACAGATAGGAACTTTTTTTATTTTTTGGTTCTTTTATTCAGCCAATATGACTACGGTGACAGCTGAGTGAGGATGCTAATTTTTGGCCAATGTCTCACAAAATTTGCTTAGGCTGAAAAGGGACTCTTTTCTACCCCCTCCCCCCACCTGAATTGAAAAATTAATAATCGAAAGAAAAATAAAGAAAACGCTAAACTGTACGTCCTTTTCTCTTCTCATCCTATTTTTACTTCTAGTTTTGAAAATGACGACTAAATTCCCGACAAGTTTACTGTGCTCTGGAGTATTTTATACATCGAGACTTTTGACTATTAGATCTTGGTCATTGAATCCGTGCCAGGAACCTCTAATGGCACCCTTCTACCAAGATAATAAAAGGTTCCGAAATTAATTGCGCCAATTTACACATGCCTACCGTAAACATGCAAGGATTATCTGTAATCTGCATTCATGGTAACACATGGGGAGGATGTCTAGCAGGCTGCAGATGAATGCGATATGCTTCACAAAGTATGATTATCCCAGAGCGGAAAGCAAAGAACAGATCATACCTTCGCGTCTTGAGACAAATATTTCACGACAAATCTTCAGTGTGCTCTGTACCATGATGGTACTACCATCCATGCTCATCTACTCTTGTTAGATGAAAAGAGCTTATCTATCGCGGCAATAGCACTGATGTGAGTTCTCGGAAATAGTACATGCAACAAAGGGACCAAAGTTGACGAGGGCTTGAGCTTCTCCACAGCCATCTTAATTACGCGTGGAGCTGGTACACTGAACCACTGACGGTACCAAGAGAGAAGTATTGAACGTTTATCTCCGTGGGTTTCCCCATTTGGTCACCTCCCAGAATACATATAATTACAATGGTAGTCCTTCAAGTCCTGAGAACAGTTTAGGATCTCTTCCACCTGCTTCCGAAGACATGCTATAAAGTTGGACTGAACAATGCCACCTATCGAAGAGGTGGATCTTCCGCTCAACAACGTTTCATTGTAGGCTAGTGCAAGCTGCAATCAGAAGGGAATTGATACAATTTTTGGCATCATTTAACATGAATAAGTTGAAATGAAAGTTATAACGAGGGCAAACTGAAAGGTCAATATAATACTACCTTAAGATTACAAATAGCAAGAAAGTCACATAAAACGACAGTGTCACTGGTAACTTGACCTGCCATTGATCCAATCGTCGTGTATAACGACAAATAGAGACCTGCAAGTTTTCAGGAGATTGCATTACGTTTCTTATTAGAAAGGTAACATTAAGAAACGGGAACATCTCATAAGCATTGATTAAAATGAAAAGCATAACTAGTTCTACTTCTACATCAATAATTGAAAAGCATAATGAAGAATATGGTCTTTACTGATGAATAATCAAGCTTACTCACTACTCTACCTGCTGCAATGGCAGCATAGTTTATATAAGTTTACAAGCATGCAATAAATAATAATAATGTCCTTAACCCTTGCTGTACTGACAGCATGGTTTATATACAAGTTTAATACACGCATGCAATAAATAATACAAGTGCCAGAAACCATGTGAAGTATTCCTTCTGTCAGGTTGTACAGCGAGAAGGTGGAGGTTCTGTCGTGGACCTTTCTTTAGGGTTTGGAGTCACGTGGATTCACGTGGATTCATGACTTCGTCTAACACCCCCCCGCAAGCGAACAGGTGGGGAAACAACAGGTAGCTTGGACACTAATAATGTGAAGCGAGACGAAGACAAGCCCTTGGTAAAGATATCAGCGAGCTGATCCTGCGAGCAAATATAATTAACCTGTAATTCACGACGAACGACCTTCTCTCGAACATAGTGATAATCAACTTCCAAATGCTTTGTCCGTGAATGAAACAAAGGATTAGAAGCAAGGGCAATTGAAGAGACATTGTCGCACCATATCTGTGGACACACAAGATACAACTGCAGGTCTTTGAACAAGGAACGTAACCATGAAAGCTCGGCGGCTGTGTAGGCTAACTGCCGGTACTCGGCCTCAGCACTCGACCGAGACACGGTTTTCTGCTTCTTGGAGCTCCAAGAAACAAGATTGGAGCCGAGATAAATACAAAATCCTCCAGTAGAGTGTCGAGTATCGGGATTCCCCGCATAGTCCGCATCAGAGTATGCTGAAAGTTGTGCCGAGCCTGGTTTATACAGAAGACCATGACTAGGTGTGGCCTTCAAATAACGAAGAATCCGTTTCACCGCCATCCAGTGATGAGTAGTGGGGGCATGCATAAACTGGCAGACTTGGTTAACAGCATAGGATAAATCAGGACGTGTAACCGTTAGATATTGTAGGGCCCCAACCACACTCCGATACAGATCGGGGTGTTCGAACGGATCACCAACATGTGCACTGAGTTTCTGACCAGATACAGCAGGCGGTGAAATTGGTTTTGCATCTGTGAACTTAGTACGTGACAACAAGTCCAACGCATACTTTGCTTGACAAAGATGCATAGTCGTGCCATCATACTTGACTTCCACACCCAAAAAATAATTAAGGGGTCCTAAATCCTTCATCGAGAACAAGGTGCCGAGCCTTTTAATCAACCTAGATATTTGATGAGGACTGTTGCCAGTGATTAAAATATCATCCACATAGATTAGAAGGATTAAGTAAACACCGGAGTGACTGTAGACAAATAAACTATAATCACAGCTTGATTCCTGAAAACCAAGTTGGAGCAAGAAGTCCGAGAATCTCTCAAACCACGCCCTCGGTGCCTGCTTAAGACCATAAATACTCCGCTGAAGCTTACAAACATGAGAGGGAAATTGCTTGTCAGTAAACCCCGAAGGCTGTTTCATATATACATCTTCACGTAAAAACCCATGCAAAAAGGCATTCTGGACATCAAGCTGTCGAACATGCCAACCTTTTGAGACAGCAAGACTGAGAACAAGCCGAATAGTTGTATGTTTCACAACAGGACTGAATGTTTCGGTGTAATCCACACCAACTTTCTGATGAAACCCATTTGCCACAAGACGCGCCTTATGACGTTCAATCGTGCCATCTGCACGTCGCTTCAGCTTAAAAACCCACTTATTAGGAAGCAAATTCATGCTGGGATGAAATGGAACCAAGGTCCATGTCCCACATTGCTGCAGCGCATTAAACTCATGAACCATAGCATTTCTCCATTCTGGAGACTTCACAGCCTGACTAAAACAATTGGGTTCAAGAGGAAACTTGTCAACAGTGACATGCATGGCATATTTAGGGTTGGGCTTGTGAATTCCGGACTGTGAACGTGTGGTCATACGATTGCCCTGAGGTTCAGGCACCATTGGTATCGGTTCTGTGGATACCGTGACTTGCTCATTTGAGGGTAGGGTGGGTGGCAATGGGGAGATTGATTGGATGGGCGAGGAAGACAAATGGGTCGTAGAAATAGAATGAGGTTGGGCTAGGGAGTTATTTTGTTCAGGTTGCAACTGAGTAGTGATTGAAGGACATGTTTGGTCACGGGTAGAGGTCGGTTGAGGTTGAAAGGAAGTAATTGATGGAGAAGATGATGCGTGGGGTTGGGAAGGACTTGACCTAGCAGGCATATTAAAGGTTAATAAAAGTTCAGGGGACATATGGTTACCTGGTGGAATGACGTCTGCAGAGGAAGATGTGAGTCCCTTAAAAGGGAAGGAGTCCTCATCGAATAGGACATGGCGTGACAAGTACACTCGTCGTGTGGACACATCCAAACACCTATAGCCTTGATGATTGAGTGAATATCCTAAGAAAACACAAGATTTGGATTTGGGTTGAAGTTTATTGCTTGTGTAGGGTACCAACCAAGGAAAGCATCGACAACCAAAAACTTTCAACATGTCATACTTTGGGGTTTTGTTAAACAGTTTCTCATACGGTGACACATGAGACAAAAGTTTTGTGGGCATTCGATTCACCAAATATGTTGCAGTTGAGCACGCATCAAACCAAAAACGATTGGGCAAGTGAGATTGGGAAAGCATAACCACACTTGTTTCAACAATGTGTCGATGTTTTCTTTCGGCAAGTCCATTTTTGTTCCGGATGTTTAGGACATGAAAATCGTTGAGAAATACCATTTGTACTAAGGAAATTTTGAAATGCACGACTCTTATATTCACCTCCTTCATCACATTGAAATGTTTTAATGGAAAGATTAAGCATTTTCTCAACACAAGCTTTAAATTTAACAAAAAATTTCGAAAACTTCACTTTTGTTTTTCATAGGAAAAGTCCAAGAATAGCGAGAATAGTCATCCACAAATAAAACATAATAACGAAAACCTTCATTAGAAATAACTGGAGAAGACCACACATCAGAATGCAACAGTTGCAAAGGAAATTGAGAAACAGACTCAGACGCATAGAAAGGCAATCTAGTGCTCTTTCCTAAGGGACAAGTCTCACAAAAACTAACATCAGAAGTACCATGAATTGGTACTAATTTTTTTGAAATTAAAAACTTAATGATGGAATGAGACGGATGACCTAGACGGGCATGCCATGTTTTCACAGAACACCGGACTCCAACAAAGGATGAAATGGGATACTGGAGTTGTCCACTGCCACTTTGAAATGGGTATAACCCATTCTCACATCTCCCTCGGAAAAGCGTCTTCCGGGTCTTGAGGTCCTTAACAAGGAAAAAATATGGAAATATTAGTAGGTAGCATCGGTTATCTAATGTAAACCTATGGGCAGAAACTATATGTTGAGAAGCAGTGGGACAGTGGAGAATATTGGTTAATTTAAATGAGCAAGCTTTAGTACGTAATTGATTGGAACCAGAATGCAAAATAGGGATTGCAGAATCATTACCTACACCTCCAATAGTTTCATTACCAGTATACTCCTTAGGGTTGATAAGGTTTTGAAGATCAGGAGTAATGTGTGCATTAGCACCGGTGTCCAGAAGCCAATTCTGTTGCTTGTTCAGAGTATTAGGAGAGGAGGTCATAGCTGAAAGTTTGTTTGTAGGAATCCTACCTTCATACGCCGCATTCATTCGCTGGTAGCAATCAAGGGCAGGATGACCTGGTTTGCCACAAATTTGACAAACAATGCGCTCACCGGGACAAGGAAGACGATCACCATTTGGCGGGTTACGCTGATGGTTGGGACGAGGGTTGTAACCTCGGGGATTGAATGGAATGCCACGATTGGAGGAAGACACACCTCTCCCATTTCCTCTCGATCTTCCACCGCCACGACCGCGAGCAGCAACAAAGGCATTCACAGATGCAGTCCCTG